TGGCAGCTGCTCAGGCCGCGCCACCCGTGTCCGGGATGCGGGGGAGGCTTACCTGCTGCTGCTACTGCTTCCTCCTTCTCCTGCTCTGCGTGGAGCTCTTCCCCCTGCCCACGAGTATTGCGGGTCCCCTTTCTTGTATAGTCTAAAGCCAAGACAAACCTCTGGTAGACATTCTACAAGGTTTTCAGAATTGTTAGAGTGAGCAGAAAGATGCAAAGTTTTCTACCTGTCATTTAAGAATCAGGGTTTTTGTTATTTATTATCTTTACTGTTTTTGTATTTGGAGTCATAAACAGACAAGCCTCATTCCACAATAAACCTCATTCCACAGGAAAACATGGAATAATTTAAAGGTTGCTACTGCAAAAATTGTCATGTCAGTTTTTCTGTCCCCGGTCCTTGCAACTTAAGGAAGAACTTTGTCTATTTAAAAAAGTTAACATTAGAAATGAACTGGTCCAAACCATTGAAAATGTTAACTTCTTGGAGGAGCTGTTATACTGGATACTGAGCAGTACAGTAAAGTGAGAAAGAAAAAGAACCGATGCCCAGCCCCCAAGCACAGGTTTTATACTTCCTCCTGCCCCAGTTGGCTGCTTCTTATTTCAATTGGTCACCCATCTGTAACCAGAAAAAAACACCTATTCTGTCTGCTTACCTGCATTTGCAATTGTGCTTGAAGGCCAAACTACAATAATTTAAGATCAATGCTCTTTATAGTTCTGGATGCTCACCCAGAACTATCAACATCCCTGTGACTTTCCCTCTTCAGTTCCCTTATCCCATTGGAATACATACCATGAACAATGCTCCCTCTAAGCTGTGGAGTCTTGTGAGCAAAAGTTCTACTTTGTGAGCGACTGGTATTAAAGTTGTGAGCGAGCAATTTGGCTACTGCATAGATTCGTTTGCTCTGGAGCCATCCTTCCTGAGCTAAGGCAAAAATGTGTGAGCCAGAGGATAAAAAACTGTGAGCAAGCTCACACTAACTCAGCTTAGAGGGAACACTGAGGCCCGTGAACATGACCACATGTTTAATACAACACTTTTAAAAAATGGGGTTTACCCCCTCAAATGATGCAAAGGACATGCAATCAGGGCCTGCTGTAAAGATGGCACTACCAAAATTTCATCTTGTCAGGATATGGATATTACCATTTTTGGTGGTGACACAGACCAATGAGAAGACAGAGGATTAGCATAAGGGGAAGTGCATGCAAATTGTCAGTCCAGGATTTAGGTATCAGGAGCAGGGAACAGGGAACATTTTCAGTGCAAGAGATCCTGCATCTGCCAGAGGTCAAAAACATTTCCATCATGTTTGGGGCATTTCTTTTCATCCTGCTGGGGACATGGTGCACAGGTGAGCACAAGGGAAACATGCCCTGCAGTCCCTGGGACAAAAAAATCCCCTTTGCCATTCAAACTAACAATGTTATTCTTTCCACAGTTTCCGCTTCCCAGCCTGTGCTGACTCAGGAATCTTCTATGTCAGCATCCCCTGGACAGACGGTGAAACTCTCTTGTTCAATGAGCAGTGGGTATCCAGTGCAGAACTACTGGCAATCCTGGTACCAACAGAAACCTGGCAGCCCTCCAAGATACCTATTCTATTATTATAGCGGCCCAGGCACAGGGTCTGGGGACTTCAGTCGGTTCTCTTCTTCCAAGGAGAGCTCCCAGAATACTTGGTATTTAACCATCAGCAGTGTCCAGGCAGAAGATGAGGCTGATTATCACTGTGCTGTGTGGTATGGCAGTGCTGCTGTGTTCCACAGTGATGCCGTCCTAAGAGGAACTGAGACAAAAACCCAAAAGGAAAATCAAATGCACCTTCTGCTGTCACCTTGTTTGCAATTGCTCTGTTTGCAGAATCAGAAGGATGACTAATTTAGCAGTCTTAACAACTTAAGCTTGGTTATTCTGTAGATAAGTTGCTAGCATTGTGCTTTTTGTCCACACCTGATGTCAGATAAATTGCCACACAGTGGTCCCTGTTGGTGCTGTAGCTCCAGAGTTGTTAACTCTGAGTTCACAAATTCCTGGAGTTTTGGGGGGTGGAGCTTAGGGAAGCTGGGGGTTGGACAAGGGAGGGTCCTCACAGGGTGATTTAATGCCACAGAGTCCATCCTCTAAAGCAACTGATCTCTGTAATCTGGAGATCAATTGACATTCCAAGAGAAGCCCTGCTGCTGGCTGTCGGGGTGAATTGGGAACTCAGCAGCAGTGGGGATGCCAGGCATGCGATGGTAGAGGATTTGGCTGAGTTGATGGTGAGGGAGTAACTTGGTGAGTCCCCTGAGTCCACCCACACTGATGTCCTGGTCATGCAAGGCTGCCATCTGTCCCGACCCCTCTTGTGTGGACATGAGTCTCATCTCTTGCCCTCCCACCAGTGTCCAGAGGGAGCAGGTGTTCCCCCTCCTGGGATACATCCTCACCCCCACACACACACTCCTGCCTGGACCAAGCCAGGGTGCATGAGTAGGCCTTCCTTAATGTCAACTTCCCCCTGCTTGGCTACCAATATCTGGACCTCACAAGGTAAGATCCAGGCTTCCTGTTGTTGTTCCTGTGTGTGTCCCCTCATCCCTCCTCTTTGGGTGATCTGGCATGCAGCCAGCATGTTGCGCCCTTGGTGCTTGAGTTGGAGGATAGCCACCTCTGCCAGGAGGTGGTGGGCTCCTTCGCCCAACACCTACCTCATGAAACAATATCTACCTCATAGTACAACACCTACTAGGGATGGGCAAGAACTACATAACACCTACTAGGGATGGGCACAAACTAGCTCACAAACTAAAGTTCATCATGAATTTTGGTCAGTCCCTGATTTGCATATTCATGGAAGGGTGCCTGGGATGAACATTTCACACAAAAAAATTTAGACATTTATTTATCATTTTCCAAATTACATACATCCATTTTTTACTTACAAAGCTTGAGTCTTATTATATTTACATATATTTCTTCAAATATATATTTCAATCCATATCTCCCCATGTTACCTGGATCCAAATATACATTCTTTCCCATCTTTTTAAAAATACACCTCCATCTTTCCCTTGAAGACTTATCGTTAGTTTGTCCATTTCTGCTAACTCCATCAGTTTCGATATAATTTCTTCTTTTGTTGGCAAGATCTCACTTTTCCAGTATTTAGCCATCAATATTCTAGCAGTAGTCACTATAGATGTTAATAGATATTTGTCATTTTGTGGATACTCTTCCGGTACCATATTTAGTAGTGCTATTTCCGGGGTTAGAGTCATTTTTAGCTTCATAATGTCCTGAATAAGCTTTTCTATCATTCTCCAATACTTCTCCACTTTCACGCATCGCCACCACATGTGAAAATACGTCCCTATATTTTTCCCACATTTCCAGCATATCTTGGATAAAGACTGGTGACATTTCGCTAGCCTATCTGGGGACCAGTACCATCTATGGTACACCTTATAGATATTTTCTTTATAGTTGATCGCTCTTACATATTTCAATGATTTCCATGTAGTTGGCCAATGATCTATTGTATGTCCTATGTCTCTCATCCAAGTTATCATGGTTGCGCTAACCATTTCATCTAGCATTAATTCCTCTAGTAAAAATCTATGTTTTTTTTGTATTGTTTTGTCACTCGAGGATAGCCATATCCTGTCTAATTGTGTTTTTGATTCCTGGAATCCTATTACCTTATCTTTATCATAGCTTGATTTAAGTTGCATTTTTTCCCACCTCGTCAATTTTATTTTATACAAGTTTAACAGCACTTCTTCTGATTTCAATCTATTATTTTCATCTAGCAAAGTTTGATAACTTTCTCTATTGCATGGGTTTATTAGGGATGGTTTTATATATGCCTCTAAGGGCGAGACCGATTTTGGCGTCTTCCTATAATATTTATCTTTAATTTCATTCCATATCCAAATTAAAGCCCCTCTTATTATGTGTTGTTTAAATGTTGAGTGTATTTTATCTTTCCCGTACCAAATATAGGCATGCCAGCCCATACTCAGGTAGATTTAAAATTCTAGATTTAAAATTCTGGTATTCTATAAAGTTAACCAATCTTTAATCCAAATTAATGCTGCTGCCTGATAATAT